AGACGAAGACATGTTAGGGACGAACTAACCAAGGTACACCCCATAACGGTCACTGCAAGTTGAGAACGCTTGGCTAAACCCACCTTAACAAAATGAGTGCTGTGCTTGACCTCCAATTCTTCCATTGCTTTTTTGGTTGGGGCTAGCTGCATTTCACGGACGAGCTTCTGCTGCTCAATCTCCGTTCGATATTTCATAGGGTAAGTTATGTCACCGAGCTTTTCATTTGGAACTTTGCATTTTGGGCAGGGGAAAGCAGTTTTGATCCCCGATTTGGTACCTGCCACCTTGCACTGCTCAGGGTAGTCCCCAACATATGCATAGGTGACAGGGTAGACCCAACGTTCGATCCCATAAGGGTCTGTCAGCTTCTCCCCCCTGTAGGGTAGGGTACGAATCAGATAGTCAATGTCAAACAAAACACGTAGAAACCAAATACAAAATACCCAGCAGGGGGAACGGAGGGGCCATGCATGGACGATGCTGAGAGGTGGGCAGGGAAAAACGACGGAGGAGGGGAGGGCCAGGGGGACGGCAGGGATGAGGGCAGGGCGGAGGACAGGGAGGAGGGCAGGGAGGATGGTAGAGAGGAGGGCAGGGAGGATGGTAGAGAGGAGGGCAGGGAGGATGGTAGAGAGGAGGGCAGGGAGGATGGTAGGGAGGAGGGCAGGGAGGAAAGCATGGAGGATGGTAGAGAAGAGGGCAGGGAGGAGGGCAGGGATGAAACAACATTGTCGTCCTTTACCATGCGAAAGGGCCACTCTGAACCACTCACTTTTTTAGAACGTTCATTTGTTCCTCCAAGATCATGCGCAGTGCATCGTGGTACACTTCATTCTGCCTGCGCGTGTCGTCAGCCCCTTTGAAGGTCTGGTCGTCAATAACAGGAAGGAGAGCGACCAGACGGTGGCCGTGAGATTTCCATCTGTTTGAGGAAGAGATGTTAGCGAGCGATATGTATACAGGCCACCCGGTCACCCTGCCGTCAGTAGTCAAAGTTGTCTGATCAGAGTAAAGGATAACAGCGGCAACATGACCATTCACGGGCAACGCATCTTCCACCTCTGCCCACCAGGTTCCAGTTTCTGGACCCTTGTAAATCCTCATCTGCTTTTTTCCAAACCTACGAGCCCGAACCACGAATCCCTCTGCATTGGCCCGGTTCTGGTACAGACCTCATACACATGACATGCTTGAGCGCCAATACACTACTACAGGCTTTAAGTCACATGGCTTCCCAAGGCTTGTGGTTTGAAAGCCCTCCAACTGGGCCTCTGCAGTTTGTTTCTCCTCGAACCTATCAAAATCCCCTAGACTCCTAAGGTTAACACTACCCGGATTCTCAAGGGCCTCGATCAATATCTGAATCAGTTCTTTGATGTCAGCCCGGGACAAACCTGCACCCCCTGCAGATGTCCTACAGAACTTGTAGAACCTACCATCCATGTTAACTAAAGAGGGGTTGCCTGCAGGTGAAAGGTCGTAGCCAGTCAAGTCTGCGTTGGGGGTCGCTGCATCTGTCTCTGGCTCTAATCGGTCCCCCAGTTCGCATGGAGTAACAATCCTACGTTTTCGGCTTCTGCACTCAAGAGCTTGACCTGCGGCCACAAAGCTACGCATGCTAAGTCCCATGCCCGCCGTGCTAGCCCCAGCTGCTGCCCTACCCTGAATGCCGTGAAACGTATGCTGGCCCCTGCTCATGTGCAACGCTTTCAGTCGCTGAGTGGCAAATTTTGCATCACAGCCATCCTGGTCGCACTCAAACGGGAGGCTTTGTTGATCCATGTTGCTACTGCGCGACGCCGCTAAACCTGATGCTGCGAAGTTACCTGCTGCACCGCGCCACTGCGGCCTGCTGCCACCGCTCTGCTGATGCGAGCGCGCCTGCTGCTGCGAACTCATGCTGCTGCTACTGCCGCCGCTGCGCACTTGCTGCAGCTGCCAATGCTACAAAAGCACCTGATGCTGTCAACCCTGCAAACGAACCGGTTCCTGCTGTTCATGCAACGTGCTCTGATCCTTCACGCCCAAATGCCGAACGCACATGCTGCTAATGTGCACCTGATGCAACACGCGTACATGCCAATGCTGCTGCTGCTGCTATGCGGTGCTGATGGCTGTGCATCGAACACATCTGCTGCTGCTATGCGCTGCTGATGCTGATGCATCGAACATAGCTGCTGCTGCTATGCGCTGCTAATGTTGATGCACCGAACACATCTGCTGCTGCGATGCGCTGCTGATGTTGATGCACCGAACACAGCTACTGCTGCTATGCGCTGCTGATGTTGATGCACCGAACACATCTGCTGCTGCTATGCGCTGCTGATGTTGATGCACCGAACACAGTTGCTGCTGCTATGTGTTGCTGATGCCGATGTAACAAACACATCTGCTGCTGCTATGCGCAAAAGACTTCTGAAGCACCTGCTACTGCCGCGGCTCCTATCGCCTCTGCTGCTGCCGCGGCTCCTATCGCCTCTGCTGCTGCCTGTTTCTGCTACTGCTGATGCTGCGAATGCACCTCCTGATGATATCCCACCTGCTGTGCGCCGCTGCTGCTAGCGCGCTCCGGTGCTTTACGCGCACATCCCGCAGCCGCTGCTCCAAACGCCCCTGCAAATGTGCGTTGCTGCTACTGCTGATGCTGCGAATGCACCTGCTGATGCGATCCCACCTGCTGCGCGCCGCTGCTGCTAGCGCGCTCCAGTGCTTTACGCGCACATCCCGCTGCCGCTGCTCCAAACGCCCCTGCAGATGCGCGTTGCTGCTACTGCTGATGCTGCGAATGCAGCTGCTGATGCGATCCCACCTGCTGCGCGCCGCTGCTGCTAGCGCGCTCCGGTGCCTTACGCGCACATCCCGATGCCGCTGCTCCTAACGCCCCTGCGGATGCGCGTTGCTGCTACTGCTGATGCTGCGAATGCACCTCCTGATGCGATCCCACCTGCTGCGCGCCGCTGCTGCTAGCGCGCTCCGGTGCTTTACGCGCACATCCCGCTGCCGCTGCTCCTAACGCCCCTGCAGATGCGCGTTTCTGCTACTGCGAATGCCGCGAAAGTACCTGTTGATGCGATCCCAGCTGCTGCTCGCCGCTGCCTGCTCTACGCGCACGTCCTGCTGCCGCTTCTCCTAACGCCCCTGCTGCAGCGCCCTGCTGCTGCTGCAGACGATGCTGCGAATGCACCTGCTAATGCGATCAGGTTGCTGCGCGCTGCTGCTTCAAGCACGCTGCGGTGTCTCACGCACACCATGCCGCTGCCTCTGCTCCTGCTGCTGCGATGTGCTGCTGCCCACCCGCTCATACGCTTCTAGCGCGCACCGCTACTACCTGCGGATGCCGCAAGCGCACCTACGCGCTCATGTCCTCCAAGCGCGCGCCTGCTTATCTAAACATCTATTTGTGCTAAAACACACTGCCGTTTGTCCTATTGGTGGTCGGCTCCTCGTAGCGGGCAAGTGCAAATGATAAGATGAAGGGCGCAACTATAGAACCAACGTTTTTAAATCTAGGAAAGCGGTTGTTGAGTAAGCTAAATTCCGAGCCGCGTACATCGCGGAAAAGGGAACTGCAAAAAGCAACTCGAAAGTTACTGCCTCGTTACTTTAGGGTTGCATTTCTCCCGCAAGAAAAAAGTCAAGGTTCAAAATCGTGGGTGCTGTAGTGACTTGCGATGCAACTTTTCTGTCACTAAATCGACAGAAACTGCATACACTGACGCAACTAACCCGGTATGCAGTAAATCAACCTCAAAGTTGCGGAAAGTCACTTCTCAGCAACCACAGCGAAAGTGTTACGAGAACGCCACGTGGCATTATGACGTACTCAAGATGAAACTGAAACATGCTGACGTGGATGTCGTGTCAGAACATATAGCTTACTTATTTGTGTAGGCTATAGTGGGGTATCCCATAGGGGGTACAACCCAATTAGGGTTTCCTATTTGTACTCACCTCGTTCATACTCATTTCATTCTCGTTCAATTATTCTCATGGAATCAGAGCAGGTCCCCTCCTAGGGACTGTTCCTAGGGCCCACCGAAGCGCGCCCCGAGGCGCGCGTTCTTTTTTTTTAGCGACCCTGCGTGTCGCCCCTACCGTCGCGCTCCCGCCGCTCTCTCCTCTTACGGCCGCCCGCCCTAGTGCCCTGACGGCCGCCCGCTCTAGCGCCCGAACGCCGCCCGCCCTAGCGCCCTGACGGCCGCCCGCCCTAGCGCCCTGACGGCCGCCCTCCCTAGCGCCCGAGCGCCAACCGCCCTAGCGCCCTGACGGCCGCCCGCCCTAGCGCCCTGACGGCCGCCCGCCCAGCGCCCGAGCGCCGCCCGCCCTAGCGCCCGAGCGCCGCCCGCCCTAGCGCCCGAGCGCCGCCCGCCCTAGCGCCCGAGCGCCGCCCGCCCTAGAGCCCTGACGGCCGCCCGCCCTAGCGCCCGAGCGCCGCTCGCCCTAGCGCCCTGACGGCCGCCCGCCCTAGCGCCCGTGCGCCACTCGCCCTAGCGCCCTGACGGCCGCCCGCCCTAGCGCCCGAACGCAGCCCGCCCTAGCGCCCTGACGGCCGCCCGCCCAAACGCCTGAGCGCCGCCCGTCGTCGCCCCAACGCCCTAGCGCCCGACGCCCGCGAGCCGCCCGTCGCAGCCGCCCGTGAGCTCCCTGAGCCGCCCGCGCCGCCGTCCCTGAGCCGCCTGTGCAGCCGCCCGCGAGCCGCCAGCGAGCCGCCCGTCGCGACACCAGCGCCGCATGAGCCGCCCGTACAGCCCAGCAGCCCGAGCCGCCCGAGCCGCCCGCGCCGCCCCAGCAACCCGAGCCGCCCGAGCCGCCCGAGCCGCCCGAGCCGCGCGAGCCGCCCGAGCCGCCCCAGCCGCCCGAGCCGCCCGAGCCGCCCGAGCCGCCCGCGCCGCCCCAGCAACCCGAGCCGCCCGAGCCGTGCCGCTGTTCCTGAGCTGTGTTCCTCTGCTGCTGACCTACCCGACTCTCCCAGCCCGGTGAGACTTTCAGCTGCTGCCATGGCCACCCCCAATGTTCTTACTTTTGACGCTGAGGGGAGGGCCATTGACTTTGCCGTCTGGATTGAAGACCTGCAGCTGTACTTACTGTGTGATGCGATAGATGAGGTCTCTCTCTTTGACTTTGTCTCTGGCGCTGTCCCTGCCCCACGTGCTGATGCTGACTCTGCCGTTCGCTCCAAGTGGGCGACCCGCGATGCTGCTGCACGTCTTGCTGTGCGTCGCCACCTCCCTTCCTCTGAGCGTGCCCACTTTAGTCAGTGCAAGACCGCTCAGGCCTTGTACGACGCTGTAGTTGCACGCTACTCCTCCCCTTCCTCCGCTACCCTTAGCCGCCTCATGCTACCGTTTCTCTTCCCTGACCTCGCCTCCTTTCCCACTGTTGCTGACCTCGTTACCCACCTCCGTGCTAGTGACACCCGCTACCGCGCTGCCCTTCCTGCTGAGTTCCGCGCTGCGAACCCTCCTCCCATGTACATCACTCTCTACTTTCTCGTCACCCGTCTCCCTGAGTCCCTTCGTGTCGTTAGGGACCAGTTTCTCTCTGTCTGTCCCACCACTCTCACTGTCGACCTCCTTGAGGAGTCCCTGCTAGCGGCTGAGAAGAGTATTGTCGCTGTAGGGGCCTCTCGGGGTGACCCTCGCACCCCCATCTTTGAGGGGTGTGGTCCTTCCCCCCTGCTGCCCTCTGTCGCCTCTGCCGCTGCGGCCGACCTCACTGGTTTTGAGTCGGTCGGCGCGGCGTCTGCCCCCAGCGGCAGACGCCGCTCTGGCAAGGGCAAGGGGGGCAAGGGAGCGGGTGGAGCTAGAGGGGGCGGTGGAGGAGGCGGTGGGGGTGGCGGGGGGAGTGGGGGTGGCGGTGGGGGTGGTGGCGGGAGTGGAGGTACTGGAGGCGGCGGTGGAGGCGGAGGTGGCGGCGGCGGTGGTAGCGGAGGAGGCGGTGGGAGCGGTGGGAGCGACGGTCCTGGTGGGGGAGGTGGCGGTGGAGACGGGGGTGGCGGTGGAGGCGGGGGCGGCGGTGGAGGCGGGGGTCGGAGTGGCTCGTCCCAGCGGAGCAGCTCTGGGGGTGGTCACCGCCAGCAACAGCAGCAGCAGCAGCCGCAGCAGCAGCCACAGCAGCAGCAGCGCTCTCGCACCGTCCCCGCCCCTCAGCAGCTCCGTGAGTGGTACTTGCAGCGTCAGCGTGGTGGTGCGCTTGGTCCCTGCCCCTACGTTCTTCGCACCGGTGACCGTGCAGGGGAGAGGTGTGGAGGCGCCCACACAGCCCGCCGCTGCTTTGGCCGCCTGACCGACGCCTTGCGTCAGCAGTTTCCGGAGGCCGCTGAGATCCCCCGCTGGGGAGAGCTGTCTAGGGCTGGTGTAGCTATTTATGATCTTGATTTTGATGCTATTCTCGCTGCTATGTATGCTGTGACTGGTAGTGATGAGGATGACTGTTACCGGTGTTTCCCGCCCGACCCGGGCATTGGTACTGCCACGTCAGGTACTAGTGAGGCTGCTGCTCTAGGTGCCAGTGCGTCTGTGCTCTCAGGTGCTGGTGAGTCTGCCCTCTCAGGTACTGTGTCGGCTTCGGCCTCTCACACCTTCACCCTTGATTCTGGAGCGTCTCGCTCCTTCTTTAGGGACCGCACCACTCTCACGCCGCTGAGTCGGCCGGTTGCGGTGTCCCTGGCTGACCCCTCTGGGGGGCCTGTCCTGTCTCGCTTCTCCACTGTCCTCCCGTGTCCGGCGGCCCCCTCTGGCACCCTGACTGGTCTCTACCTCCCCTCGTTCTCGACGAACTTGGTGAGTGGTGCTGACCTCCAGGATGCGGGTGTCCACCAGTTCACCCCTGCCCGTCAGCGGGTGACTCACTGCACGGAGGCGGATACAAGTCGCCACCTGGCTACGTTTACATGTCGGCCAGGGTCGAGCCTGTACACACTGACCACTGCTTCTCCTCCAGGTGCTGAGTCTGGTAGGGTCCCTTCGTCTGGTCAGGTGTTTGCTGCAGCGTCCAGGTCTGGTCCTGAGTCTGCCCCCTGCTCGTGTCGTCGTCTGTCTCACGAGACCCTCCTCTGGCACCACCGCCTTGGCCACCCCTCTCTGCTTCGGCTCAGAGGCATGGCCTCGCGAGTCCTTGTTTCTGGTCTTCCCCGGTCTCTCCCTCCCCTTCCTCCGGGCCCTGGCCCTACCTGTGTCCCCTGTGTCGAGGGGCGCCAGCGTGCTGCCCCTCACTCCTCCCAGTTTCCTCCGACAGAGGCCCCGTTGCAGACGCTTCACATGGACGTGTGGGGCCTAGCCCGCGTCCGTGGACAGGGTCAGGAGCGCTACTTCCTGCTGGTGGTTGACGACTACTCGCGTTACACCACAGTCTTCCCCTTGCGCAGCAAGGGTGAGGTCACTGAGGTGTTGATCGACTTGATCCGCGCAGCTCGTCTCCAGCTTCGGAGGAGCTTTGGCTCTGACTTCCCTGTTTTGCGTCTGCACTCGGACAGAGGCGGAGAGTTCTCCTCTGGCCTCCTGAGTGCCTACTGTCGTGCGCGAGGCATCCGTCAGACCTTCACGCTTCCGGACTCACCACAGCAGAATGGGATTGCTGAGCGCCGCATTGGCATGGTCATGGACGTCGCTCGTACGTCCATGATGCATGCGGCTGCTCCCCATTTTCTGTGGCCGTTTGCGGTCAGATACGCTGCGCACCAGATCAACCTCCACCCCAGGGTCTCTAGACCGGAGACCTCCCCAGCCCTGCTGTGGACGGGGAAGGTTGGCGATGCGTCGGCGTTCCGGGTCTGGGGATCTCGGGCGTTTGTTCGCGACCTGTCTGCGGACAAGCTGTCCCCTCGTGCTTCTCCCTGCGTCTTCCTGGGGTTCCCCCCCGACGCCCCTGGGTGGCAGTTTTACCACCCCACCTCTCGACGTGTTCTGTCCTCCCAGGACGTCACGTTCGACGAGTCGGTACCCTACTACCGCCTCTTCCCCTACCGCACTCCGTCCCTCCCCCCACCCCCGCTCTTCTTGGTACCAGGTCCCCCCCCGGTAGTCCCCCTCCCCCCTCAGGGTCCTGCCCCTTCAGGTGTGTCCCAGGTAGACACGGTCGAGCCTGTCGAGGTCACTGGTGACTCTGGTGCTGCTGCGGGAGCTGAGCCTGGGGGTGCGGAGTCTGGGGGTGCTGAGCCTGGGGGTGCTGTGCCTGGGGGAGCTGAGCCTGGGGGTGCGGAGTCTGGGGGTGCTGAGCCTGGGGGTGCTGTGCCTGGGGGTGCTGAGCCTGGAGGTGCCGAGCCTGGGGGTGCTGTGCCTGGGGGTGCCGAGCCTGGGGGTGCTGTGGCTGGGGGTGCTGTGCCTAGGGGTGCTGAGCCTGAGGGTGCTGAGCCTGGGGGTGCTGTGCCTGGGGGTGCCTCGTCTCGCCGGGAACCACTCTCCCCACAGGAGCTGCGTGAGTGGTTTGCCAGGCGCTGGAGGCGTGCTGCTAGTGCTGGTGGTTCTTCGGCTGCAGAGGGTACTGCTGCCGCGCGTCCCGCCGGTGCTCGTACTGTGGGTGCTGGAGCCGCTGGGTCTGAGAGTTCTCCTGGAGCTGGTACTGCTGAGAGTGTTGGCGCTGAGCCTGCCGTTGGCGGTCCGACTGACAGTGCTCCTGGTGCTGCTGCTGGAGGTTCTGGAGCTTCTGGTGCTGCTGCTGGAGGTGCTGCTGGAGTGGGTGCTCCTGTCGGGGCTGCTGGTGCTGTTCCTGCTGTTTCTAGCGTCGCCGCGCGGCCCCGACCGTACTTCGTTCCGCTCTTGCAGCAGGTTCTTGGTCTTACACCTCCTCCTCCTCCCTTAGAGGGTCCGCAGCCTGTCCGGTCACAGCCACAGCTACAGCCTGCCTCCCCTTTGCCTGCTCCTTCTCCCTACGCTGGTCCGACTGGAGGTCTTACTGAGCGTCGTGAGCCTGCGTCTCGTCCCGTGTCGCCTGTTCGTACTGAGCGCACTAGTGGTCGCGGGTCGCGTCAGCGTCCTCCTCCTGTCCCTGGCACGCACCGGATGTCACTGCGTCCGTCCACTGCTCCTCTGCGTGCCCCTTTGCCTTCTCCTCCTGAGTCTTCTCTTCCTGCTCTTGCCGACCCGGAGTCGGACTCTCTTCGTGCTGCCAGTCCTACTGTCACGCGTCTCCTTGCTACTGCTGTCACTGACCCTTCCTTCGAGTCGTCTGCTGCGTCTGCCCTTGTCACTGAGCTTGTCGACTTTGCTGCGCGCTGTCGTCTAGACTACGCTGCTAGTCTTGTCACTGAGTCTGAGTCCGCCTGTCCTCCGTCCGTCGGGGGTGAGTGTGCCCTTGGCACGGACGTCCTTGAGGACAGGCAGGAGGAGTTCCAGTGTCTCGCCGCCGCTTCACCTCGTCTCGCGTCTGTACTGCTAGCCCCTGAGGGAGACCCGGATGCACCAGACATCCCGACTCCGCGCTCTTACGCGGAGGCGATAGAGGGTCCCTACTCCTCTCAGTGGCAGGCAGCTATGGATGCAGAGATGGCTTCCTGGAATTCCACAGGCACCTACGTTGACGCTGTTCCCCCTCCTGGGGCGAACATCGTCAGTGGCATGTGGATTTTCAGGGTGAAGCGGCCGCCGGGCTCTCCGCCTGTCTTCAAGGCGCGTTACGTGGCTCGTGGCTTCAGTCAGCGGCAGGGGGTTGACTACTTTCAGACCTTCTCCCCCACCCCGAAGATGACCACTCTTCGGGTTCTGCTGCACGTTGCTGCTCACCGTGACTACGAGCTGCACTCTCTCGACTTCAGCACAGCTTTCTTGCAGGGCAGCCTGCACGAGGAGATCTGGCTGCGTCGCCCACCTGGCTTCACTGGGTCTTTCCCTCCTGGTACCCAGTGGAGTCTCCGGCGTCCAGTCTACGGTCTCCGCCAGGCGCCACGTGAGTGGCACGACACACTGAGGACTACGCTCGCGGCACTTGGGTTTGCTCCTTCTACTGCCGACCCGTCGCTGTTTCTGCGCACCGACACCTCTCTGCCGCCGTTCTACATCCTCGTGTACGTCGACGACTTGGTCTTTGCCACAGCTGACACTGCTGGACTCGCCTACGTGAAGTCCGAGCTGCAAAAGAGACACACGTGCACTGACCTGGGTGAACTGCGCAGCTACCTTGGCTTGCAGATCACCCGGGACAGAGCACGCCGCACCATTACCCTGACTCAGTCACACATGGTGCAGCAGGTCCTTCAGCGCTTCGGCTTCACGTACTCCTCGCCTCAGGCCACTCCTCTGCCTACTCGCCACTCGCTCTCAGCTCTGCCTTCGGATGAGTCCGTAGAGTCGAGTGGCCCGTTTGCAGAGCTTGTTGGCTGCCTCATGTACCTGATGACCTGCACACGACCTGACCTCGCATACCCTCTTAGCATTCTCGCACGCTTTGTTGCTCCTGGGAGACACCGACCAGAGCACATGGCTGCAGCGAAGAGGGTGTTGCGCTACTTGTGCAGTACGTCGGGCATGGGGCTAGTGCTTGGAGGGCGCAGTCCAGTGGTCCTCACTGGGCACGCAGACGCTTCTTGGGCTGACGACCAGGCTACGCAGCGGTCGTCACAGGGTTACACCTTCAGCCTTGGTTCCGGCTCTGTCTCGTGGCGGGCTACCCGCTCGTCTTCTGTTCTCGGCTCCAGTTGTGAGGCTGAGATCTACGCTGGGGCTATGGCTGCACAGGAGTTACGCTGGCTCACCTACTTGCTGACCGACCTTGGAGAGCAGCCTCGTTCTCCTCCAGTCCTATACGTAGACAACAAGGCCATGCTTGCCTTGTGTCGAGAGCAGCGACTGGAGCACAGAACGAAGCACATTGCTCTCCGCTACTTTCTTGCTCGTGAGCTACAGCAGCGTGGACAGCTGCGACTTGCGTACGTGGCCTCTGAGGCCAACACTGCTGATGTCTTCACCAAGGCACTTGCGCCTTGTGATCATCAGCGTTGCTGCACGCAGTTGGGTCTTGTGCCTGTCTTGCCTCACTTGCTCTCCTCTTGACCTTGCTTGTACCTTCGCATATATATACCCTTGCTCTTGCTTACTTGACTCTTGTATACCTCTATATATGATCTTGCATGTGAACTGGCCTTCTGGCCTTTGAACTTGTGCTCGGAATGCGTGGTGACTTTGTGATCCACCCTGAGCTTTGCTTTGCTTTGCTTGACTGGTCGTGTGACCCCTTGTTCTCCCCCACTTTGCCTATGGGGGTGTGTCAGAACATATAGCTTACTTATTTGTGTAGGCTATAGTGGGGTATCCCATAGGGGGTACAACCCAATTAGGGTTTCCTATTTGTACTCACCTCGTTCATACTCATTTCATTCTCGTTCAATTATTCTCATGTCGATGTACGCTAACGACAACCGTCGGATCAGATTCATTTCGACGCACGAAATTTTGGCACATGGACCAATCGTAGGCGGGCGATACATAAAAAAAAAAAATAAAAAAAAAAAAATAAAAAAAAAAAAAACATTGGCTAGCGATTGGAACTGTGACA